GGCTGATTTTTTGATTTATGTAGAGATGAGGTCTCGCTGCACAGACGGGTCTCGAACCCGCGAGCTCAGGCAATTCACTCACCTCAGCCTCCCAAAGGCGTGGGATTACAGGCTGAGCCACCGAGCCCGGCCCTTAAAACTTTTTATTGTACCAAGGTAACAGAGGTGTTCCCCCCTCACACACACATTTGTTTAAAACATTCAGAAACTGGTTGTGTAAAAATTCCAGGTTATTAATTCTTGTGTATTTTATTCTAGGTTAATGGAAAAGGTTCCTTATGGTGTGTTGATCCAGAATATAAACCCAATCTCATGCAGGCACTGAAGAAGCAATCTTTTCCCTCAGCATCAACATTTTACACCCCTCCCGCATCTCCACAAAAGTAAGGATCTTCCATGTAACCATCAGTGGTGATTTATAAGATTTCTTTGTGTGAGATGGAGAAATATAAAGTGTCTTGTTTATTATTATATGAAGATATGGTATTATATGTTAATGGATAAGACAGTAGCCTAAAGCAGTTTTCTTTATGGTCTGATTTGTGTTTCTAGAAAACATAATTGAGAACATAAATTCTAGAAAATGCAGTTAGTACTGAATATATTATAACTAAACTCTAGAGAAAGTTATATAATTTCAATTACAAAAAGGTTAAATTATAATTTTAGGCTGTGCAGGGTGGCTCACATCTGTAATCCCTTCACTTTACGAGGCCAAGGCAAGAGGATCGTCTGAGGCCAGATGTTCAAGACTATAGTGAGATCTGTCTCTACAAAAAATTTTTAAAACTACCCAGGTATAGTACCTATGTCTGTAGTCCTAGTTACTTGGGAGGCTTAAGCAAGAGGATCACTTGAGCCCAGTGTGTCAAGGCTACTATGAGGTAGCTGTGATCACACCCTTGCACTCCAGCATGAATGACACAGCACGATCCTGTCTCAAACAAATTTTTTTGGTTTTTTTTTTTTCTTTCTGAGTCAGTCTCACTCTGTCACCCAGGCTGGATGGAATGCAGTGGCATGATCATGGCTTACCATAGCCTCAACCTCCTGGATTCAGGCTATCCTTCTGCCTCAGCCTCCTGAGTAGCTGGGACTTCAAGTACATACCACCACACCCAGGCTAATTTAAGATATTTTTTTGTTGTTGAGATGGGGTCTTGCTGTGCTGTCCATACTGACCTCATGCTCCTAAACTCAAGCAATCCTCCCTCGTTGGCCTCCCAATGTGTTGGGATTACAGGCGTGAGCCCAGTCAGCACTTTTAATACTTAAAAATCATGTTCAGGTCTAAAATTTTTAAATGTTTGGCAAGTAAATGAATGCTTTAAAAATTTTTCCCCCCTAGTAAATGTAATTGTACTGTATTTCCTTGTAACTTTCTTTGACTTTTGTTTTAAGTCCAGTGACTTTCTATTGCTCTTCTAACTTTTTCATTTTAAGTTAAATCTGAGAATGATACAACCTCCTTAAATGTGATTTTTGTTTCCTTTTCCTAATGAAGCCTTCAGAATATTCTGAAATTTATTATGTACATTCATTTTCATTGGAAATGCCAGATTTTGTTAAAATACTTTTAAGGGTAGTTTATAATGGTTAATTTGTTTTTTGAAACATTTAAAATGCCTTTTAATAAAGCAGTAGGCCTGGGCGGTAGCTCAGCCTGTATCTTAGCACTTTGGGAGGCCGAGGCAAGAGGATTGCCTGAGCCCGGGGGTTCTAGACTCTAGTCCTGGGCAATTTGGTGAGACCTCGTCTCTACAGTAAATCACACACACACACCTGAGACCTCGGCTCTACAGTAAAACACACACACACACACACACCTCTACAGTAAATCACACACACACACACACCTGAGACCTCGTCTCTACAGTAAAACACACACACACACACACACACACAGCTGGGCATGGTGGCGTGTGTCTGTAGTTCTGGCTACTTGGAAGGCTGAGACGGAAGGATTTCCTAAGGCCAACAGGATGAGGCTGCTGTAGCCATGAATGTGCCACAGCACTCCAACCTGGGTGACAAGAGTAGAATTCCAACTCTAAATAAATAAATAAATAAAAATAAAGCATTAAATGGAAATTTTTCAACATATGCAAAAAAGTAGTAGAGAGAAAACTAAAATGAACTCCCAACTGCAACAGTTATCAACATTTTATATAGCGATTAATTTGAATTCTTAAAGTGTCACTAGAGGACTGGTTGTAGCCAAAAGACAGCAAAAAAAAAAAACTAGGAAAGCTAAAGTTGAAATGTCAGTAATGTGAGATTTTTAAGCTTGTTTACCATATTTGTTGATAATATGGATCTTTTTTTTGAGTCAGTCTTGCTTTGTTGCCTGGGTGTGAGGAGAGGGACACAACCATAGCTCACTGCAACCTCCAACTTCTAGGCTCAAGAGAATAGATGGTTCACTGTAAAAAGAACTACTGAGTGGTTTGTCCTTAGACATAAAACCTAGGAAAGAAATTACCAGATTTTGTGTCCTCGTTTGGGAATTAACATCTTCTTTATTAGTAAATGTTGGTGATTATGAGATTTTCTAGTTAAATAATGATTAGAAACTAATGATAATTTCTGTTGATGTTTACTTGTATGTTTTATTTAGCTATGCTGTTTTTTAAATTAAATGGAAGAATTGGCACCATTTTTTGTAGACTATCACAAATATATTTTACTCTTATCTTTGGTATGTTGCATTTTAATGTGTCCATTTTTCTGCTTTATCATACGTTTAAATGTTAAAGGTTATCTTGTGGTTTTAATACAGATAAACAAAACTAAAGCATAAAGTTTATATAATCTTTGACTTTAAAACCCTAATATAAAATGAAACTTTTTCTCCTTTATGTTGTTTTGCAAAATAACATTTCCATTTTACATGGTTTTATGTAGTCCTCTCATATTATAATTTGCAAGTCTGAGGAAGAGATTGAGATACAGTATATGTTAAACTGACTAGGAAATACACTTAGTTAACAGTTTTTTTATACCATCACAAATTCCAAAGAACAGTAGTTTTTCCAAAAATGTTTTAATTTCTGGAATAAAAAAAAAAAACCTGCTGGTGTGCTTCTACTAATATAGAAAGTTTAATGTGAAATTGATATTGTTAAAATCAGGAACATATCTGTTTGGCGCCATTACCATTTAGTCTTTCTTAAACATTTGTTTTGATAAAATGCTTCTATTTCTGTGATAATACCTATATTAATATTATAACAAACATAAGCAGTCAATACAAAACCAAATAGTAACTATTACATATTATTTGCTATTTCAGGCATCTTAAATGCATTATTCTTATTTAATTGCCACAAGAACCCTATTCCAATCAATTTTACAGATGAGAAAACTAAGAAATTAGTTATTTTGCCTAAGAATGTCCAAATAGTTGTGATTTCTAAATTCAGTAGTATTAGCAAAGAAAAAAGGGTAAAAAATAGTTTGCTTTTTTTTTAGATTAAAAAATATAGAAGATTTGCCTTTCCAAGGTGGGAGAGGGGGCCAAAGCCAGGAAGCATGGCGACAGCCATAGCTCAGAGAGCACATGGCCACACCAGAGTCTAGCAAGGCAATGGCTTGCATTTTTTTAATGGTACAAATTAGCTGTATTTTTTACTAAGTTATGTTAAAAGTGAAATAAGTATTTTTATAAGCACTTTTGTCTTTTCTCTTTATTTTTCAGTGGCTCTTTATCACCTCACTATCTAAGCTCTATACTCAAGCAGAACCAGGTGCGAACTCTCAAAGGTATGTGTGAAGATCAATCAGTGCAGTCATGTACCACATAGCGATGTCTGGTTAAACAATGGGCTGCATATATGATGGTGGTCCCCTGAGATTTAGTGGAGCTGAAAAATTCCTGTTGCCTGGTGACATAGTGGCTGTTGTAACATTTTAGCACAGTGCATTACTGTCATGTTCTCGGTTATGCTAGCGTAAACAAACCCACTGCCCTCCTTGTTATGTGTGAAAGTCTAGCACATACAATTATGCACAGTATGTAATACTTGATAGTGATAATGTTATTGTTACTAGTTTATGTATTTATTATATAATACTTCTACTTATTAAAATGTATTCCAGTCGGGCGCAGTGGCTCATGCCTATAATCCCAGTACTTTGGGAGACTGAGGAGAGGATTGCCTGAACTCAGGGGTTCGATACCAACCCGGGCAACTTGGCGAGACCTCATCTCTACAATAAATCAAAAAATTATCTGGGCATGGTGGCACATGCCTGTAGTTCCAGCTACTTGGAAGACTGAGGCAGTAGGATCACCTGAGCCCAGCAGGTTGAGGCTGCGGTGGCCATGAGCATGCCAGTGAACCCCAGCCTGGGTGACAGAGTGAGACTCTGACTCAAAAAAAAAAAAAGTATTTATTCTACTTAACTGTAAAACAGCTTCAGCAGGTCCTTCAGGAGGAATTCCAGGAGGATTGTTATCATAGGAGATGATAGTTCCATGCATCTTGTTATCCCTAAAGACTTTCCAATAGGACAGTGTGGAAGACAGTGAAATGGATGGCCCCGACCTGTGTAGGTGTGTGTATGTATTAGTTTTAACATTTACATGTATGTGTGTGTAGGTATGTGTGCATCTAATATAGATGCACACATATGTATACACACACACCCCTCTCTTTTCTCCAAATACTAGACTCACCCTTTACATAGTTTTATATCTCTTTTTTCATTTACTCTTATGTATATTTTTCCTTGAAAATAGGATTTAATTTCTTAGTCATGTCATCAGTAGAGGTATCTTTTCAAGTCTATTTTAGACTAGATGGGGGCTGGCAAACTATGGTTGCGCCATATCATGCCTGTCACCTATTTTGGGGTGGCCCATGAGCTAAGGGTGGTTTTACATTGGTAAAATGGTTGGGGGAAAATCAAAATAACAATAATATTTTAAGACATATGAAAATTTGTCACAACAGCAGAGTTTAGTAGTTGCAACAGAGACCTATATATTATATCCTAGATTTTTGCCCCTTAGCATGCAAAGCTTCAAATATTATTTTCTGTCTTTACTGAAGACGTTTGTCATACCCTGAATTAGAATATAGTTCAAGATACCTCTTCACATGAAGAATTTACTTTTAATTTAAAAGGGTAATATATTGACTTTTTAAAAGCATATCAAAATTCAGAATTAGTAGGGTTTGTCTTACAGTATTATGGATGGATTAGTAATGTATGGATGGATTAGTAATGTGTGTGTCAGAAACATTTTGACTCTTTGGAACTGCACTAAGCTGAGCCTCAAAAGCAGCGTGCTGATATCTGTAAAAGTAAAGGAGGGAAAGAACATGAAAAAGCTGTGGTGAACTCTGCAAAGAAGTTAAGTAGATAGGGAATCTGTTTCAGATAATGTTCTGTCTTAACATAAGACAAGTATCCATGTTCCTATTACTTGCATGGGGGTAAATGTGGTTCTCTTTACACTTAGGTATTGCTAAAACTCTTTTATCTTTTTATGTCCTCAATAAATTCCCAGTTTATGTGCACATCTTGAGGACAATTTCTTTGTGAATTCTGGGGTTCACTTTTAAAAATCTCTTCTTGCTCTTGTTCTATTTCATCCCAATTCTGCTGCTTTCTTTGGGGAGCAGGCATTTCCTCAAGTTTCTCCTGAAAGTTTTTCTTAAATGGAGCTCAGGTACTTCTCCTTCATCTGATGAGTTCATATATATTATGCATCATCTCTTCAGTGCTGCCAACACCTACTTTTATCTCTGTTCCTGTACTCAAGAGTCTTAGACCTGTTCCCCTAGTAATAATTAACTTGGGTGGGGAAGGTGGTTGGTATTCTAGGTTAAAACAAATGCAGGTCTGTCCTGGAATAGAAAACAAAATTCTCATAACTCATAAGGGAAAAAACATAAGACCTCACAAAAATTTAAGAAAATTTCGGTGGGCACAGTGGCTCAAGCCTATAATCCCAGCACTTTGGGAGGCTGAGGTGAGAGGATTGCCTGAGTCCAGGGGTTTGAAACCAGCCTGGACAACTTGGTAAGACCTCATCTCTACAATTAAAATTTAAAAAAAAATTAGCTGGGCACGGTAGCGTGCATCTGTGATTCCAGCTACTTGCAGGGCTGAGGTGGAAGGATCAACTGAGCCTAGCAGGTCGAAGCTGCAGTAGCCCTCCACTGCACTCCAGCCTGGGCGACAGAGTGAGACTCTGACTCAAAAAAAAAAAGAGAGAATTTATATTTGAATTTGGCTGCTTTAGAGTATTTTCATAGTCTTTAAGGAAATTTGTTCTTCTCTGATTATATGTTTTCAAGGGGGAAGTTTGAAAGATACCAAGTGGATTAAACATTCATCACAAGTATTTACTATTGAGCCTTCTCTGTTGTGCTGAACACTGGTGCCTTGGGATATCCAGAGATGAGAAACCCAGGCCCTGCTCTCAAAACTCATATGGTTTAATTAAAGAAGGTTAGCTAGAATTATGCAGAGTATACTATGTGAAAAGGTAGGGAGTAGCAAATTAGTCTTAGAAGAAAGGCAGAAGAGGCCTCTTAGAGAAGAAAGTGTGATACTTGATCTGATCCTCAAAAGTTGGGGGATACTTTACTTTCAAGAGTACAGATTTGGTGGAGGGCAGGGAACCATGGCAGAGAGATTTGTAGCAATAAAGTTATCTGGCAGTTGCTGGGACTTTGCCTGGCAGGTTGGTGATTATGAAGCCAAGGGGTGTATGGAAGAGGACCAGGTAGATGTGGTCATTTGACCCTAGCAAGGCAAATGGAGCAGAAATTTAAGGCTCGCTTATTTAGCGTAAAAAACACTTTGAACTTCTTCCTCTGTCTATAACATTGGCAAGCACTGAATTACTTACTATGATGCTTTGCATGTATTATCTCATTTAATCCATAAAATAAACCTTTGAGGTATTGTTACCCGTCTTTTATAAATAAGCAAACTGAAGTTTGGAGAAATTAGGTAACTTTCTCAGGGTCACACAACTAGAAGGATGCAGATTCAAGAATTTTAATTTCAGAGCCTGCACTCCTACTAGATAAGTGAAGCTGTTAAAGAGCTTTAAAAAAGAATGAAGTGACGGTACCAGTCTTATGTTTTACAAAGATCATTCAGGTATTATTGTTGGACTGCAGTATTGTCGCCTATACATTCGTCTAACACTTCATAGAATCATCTTTTCTAATCATTGCATTAGAGCTAACTTTAGACACTTAAGAGTAATGGGAGAGGTTAGGCTTAGGAACTCCGGAAACCCTATCAGCCAAAACAGGTGCAGCAGTTTGTTTAAAGTATAGCTGTCTCTCCTTCTCAGCTTACAGTGACTAATTTTATGTATGACTATCCACACTATAGTATTGTGTAATAGATAGCAGTAGACACAGGACTCATATTGAGATGGCAAAGCAAAACTTTTTTGGTCAATATTTTGGTTTCATGTGCATTTGGAGTAAATTCATCTGTTTGAAAATATTACTGAGATGTGCTAGGTACTGTCTAGGCACCAGGGTACCTAGAATACCAGAATACATTAGTGAACAAAGCAGAAAAAAGTGGAACTCACTTTCTAGTTAGTAAATTTTAGTATTTATATTAAAACTCCGGGCATATTATAAACAAACATAAAATTTAGGCAGTTGATGGTGATGTTAGGGGATAAGTACAAATCTAAGTTTAAATTTAAGATTGCAAATTAAGATGGCAAATAAGATAATTTATATCTTATTGAAGTGAAAGTAAACCAGTGATTCATACAGTTTAAAGTATTGGTAGTTTGGCTAGGTGTGGTGGCTCACGCCTATAATCCCAGCACTTTGGGAGGCCAAGGTGAGAGGATTGCCCGAGACCATGGGTTTGAGACCAGCCTGGGCAACTTGGCGAGACCTCATCTCTACAATATGTCAAGAAAAATTAGCTGGGTGTGATGGAGCATGCCTGTAGTTCCAGCTACTTGGAAAACAGGCGGAAAGATCGCCTGAGTCCAGCAGGTCAAGGCTGCGGTGGCTGTGAGTGTACCACTGCATTCCAGCCTGCGTGACAGGGGAGGCTCCAACTCAAAAATAAAATAAAATATTGGTAGTTTAATGAAATTGCTCTTCTACTTTAAAGAATAACAAGAGACAGCTTCTCCACTTGGATGCTCTGTTAATGTATATGTTAGTTTCGATAGAGGCAGTAAATCCTTTTATAGTTACTACTGAGCATATACCATCTAGATTCTGTTTCTAGAGTTCTCATATCATTTCTTAAGCAAATGAATTGAGAATCAGACTATAAAATTGTGTTTGTCTTATAACCTCACTTTCATGTGGCTAAAACTGGTGTCTTTTTATTGTTTTCTCAATTATTGTGAATAATCTCCCAATACTAAGACTAAGGAAATACAAACCAGGAGGTACAAATTAACAGGTTTGACACAGGTTCTTCTTTTTCTTCTTTTTTTTAAGTTTTTTACATTTTTGAGTCGGGATCTCACTCTGTTGCCCAGGCTGGAGTACAGTGGCACACTGACAGCTCACTGCTCAATCTCCTAGGCTCAGGCAATTCTTTCACCTCAGCTTCTTAGATAGCTGGTACTACAGGCATGCACCACCATCCCCAGCTAATTTGTTTGATTTTTGTAAAGACAAGGTCTTGCTATGTTGCCCAGGCTGGTCTTGAACTCCTGGACTCAAGCAGTTTTTCTGCCTTGGCCTCCCAAAGTTCTGGAATTAAAAACGTGAGCAATCACCCCCAGCTGATTCAGCTTTATGACT